GGGGTTTCCCAAAATTGGGTACCTTTTTGGGGGTCCCTGTAATAAGGACTACAGTATTAAGGTCTACATTGAGGTTTCCTTATTCAGGGAAACTACCATATGCAAGCATGCTGTTAGCTCGCAGTGGTGGCCATGGTCCTCGTATGAAGCATCGTGTTTATCAATTCCGTATATTCAACCACAGCTAACAAGAACATTCCTACAACATATGCACCTGTACGCGTAACTTCACTAACCTCCAGAAGGCTCTAGCTTGGTCCCCTGAGCAGCAGTTCATGAAGATTTCGTTCTCAAGGAAAAGCCATCGCAGAAGGACAATCCCCTTGCGCTACAGCGTTACAGCATAATCTTGAAGGCTTGGTTGTTGTAGCACTGCAGCATGAAGGTGACTGCGGAAATGCCCGCCGCCATTCCAAACCTCTATTGCTCTAGTACGCCCTCCCTCCAGATGACGAATCTTGAGTAGCTTTGAAGCCTTCCTGCTACCAAAAAAGCAGGTCGTGGCTGGATGCTTAGGGGTGTAGATGGTAGGGTGCCCAACTTGAACACGCCAATGACCTCGCAATGCGGTTTAGGGTTCAGGAACCTGCAACAAAAACATAAAACAGAAGCATAAGCCACGACAAATAGCATTCCGCTGTGATTCTGGTTCAGAAGCAATATTCTGTGTGAGGGGCCATATAAATCCACACCCTAACGTCGGAAGCTGACACCCCAAACGCAAATTTAAAAAACCCTCATCCCGAAGCCCTCACCGTTAACCCTGGATCCCTTACCCTTCAGACTCTAACCACGGTGGCAGCCTGATCCAAGCTCTCGCAAGCTTCGCTGCACCTATGGAGGGAGGTCTAGGGGGACCAAGCTTTGGAGAGGGAGCAAGGCAGTGTGGGGGCCTGGTTTTTCAGTCAGAAACATGCCTTAGAATGCTTGTGTTTTTCCCACGAAAATCAGATTCTAAACTGGGACTGAAGCTCCTGATTTTTCATTGACTGAGGTGAAAGGCAATTCTTTGGATGTCTAGCTATAGGGATATTCTCCTTTAATAATCGGCTATATAGTGATCATGGAAAAGAATATGGAAACTACTATTTAGGGTTCGGGTGCTTAATGCCAGGGTCATGCCCTGAGCATCACAACTTTTAATCTCCAAGTGCCAGCTGAGGTCACCTGGAATGTGGAGTTTAGAGATTGTATGGGTTGGGTATGGGCTTAGGGTTTCCTAAGTTTAGGGTTTCCTAAACTCTAAATCCCCGTGAGGACAAGTAATTCATCTTCAGGGGCTATGAGGACGGCCCCCGATACATCTATGGAGCTGTGGAGATCATTGAAGGATCAGTTAGGAATGGTAATGTAGAAGCCTAAAGAACTGTCAAAGCTATGGTCCCGGATTCCTTGCATAAGCATGGTATAAGGGACCTCAAATAAACCTCAAAACGCTGTTCGGAATTCATTTGGCCCCCGTAAACCCCAATCTAAGCCCAATTTCCCATCCATTTCCCAGTCTCTTTTCCATTTGATTCACCATTTTTGGGGTAATATCCCTACACTGTACATGAGGCCTGGACTAAATTTGTAGTACATTCCATAAACGGTCCCTCCCAATCCCTATATAGTCCACTATAGGTCCCCGCGACCTAACTCTAGTCCGTGGCAAACATAATTCCTCTGTATCCTTCGACCCTGAGCCTTCAACCTCAGGGTTTAGGGTTTAAGGGTTTAGATGAAATTTTTCCCTCCAAAAATCTTTCTCAAGAAAAGCCCGTGGCCCCCTTGGAATTTCAACCCCTCAAAGCTTCCCGCAGCTTGAAGCAGCATTTTCCGCTGGAGGAGCTTGCATCAGCGGGCTTCTTCGGCCCAAAGCACTGGACGCTTCGGATCCTAGTCCAAGGCAGAAGTCTCCACCAAAGCCTCATCTACCTTAGTTGTCTGGAAACAGACCAACTCTTGGGGACCCTGGTAAGATCCCTTCTTGCCCCTGGACTCTGGCATTGAAGCTGTTAGCAGGCATTGCCGGGTCAGTTGTCTCATAATGGGGGAGTTCCTGGGGTTGGAAAAGGCTTCGGACAGGAGAATGGATCTTCGCAGTAACCCGTTTGTACTTCACATGAAGCTCCCAATGCCCTACCCCTTCCGAGGGCCCGAACCATCAGTTAGCAAGAGATTTTCCACTGCAAGCTCCATGAATGCAACAAACAAGAAAAGCCTGAACTGCAAGCATGTCCGTGGTGCGTTTAACTCCGCGTCCACTACGGCATTTTCATCCTGCAGCACGAGAGTGCAAGAGAGGAAACGCTAATGCGCTTCTGCTGTGACTGCTGCTTCTCTACCAGCACCCGCCAATATAACCCCAATATCAACCCCATATCCCTAAAAATGTACTATAGTAGTTTCCGTTTTATTTTCCATTATCCCCAAACCCTACCAGACTGCCGCCTTCTTCCGTTCTTTGACTGGTCCTGCTGCTACTAGAGCTACAGCTCTGACTACTGCGGGTGCTCTTCTTCCTCCACGTGATGCTGATGAGGTGCATGGGTTTCTGAGAGTTCTCGAATTTCTTGAGACAGGCGCTGCTGCCACTGCTGCTAGAGGATGGCTCTTGTCTAATACAAGGTACTGCTATGGCTATGGCCCAGGTTCCTGCCGCCGCCATCGTGGCAACCGCAACAACGGCGGTGACCACGACCACGGCTACGATTGCTGCTGCTGCTGCTGCTGCTGCAGCTGCTGTGCCAGCAGCAGCAGCAGCGGCAGCAGCGGCACCAACACCAGCACGAGCAACAGCACCCCCAACCCCCCCAAGCCCCCCACGACGACTACTACTGCTGCTTCAACTTCAACTTCTTTTGCTCCCGTACTGCTCTTCCTCCTCCTGCTGTGTTCTGACAATGATGTTTGTGCTTGTACCGTGGGAAGAGCAACCCTTATTCAAAGGAAGTACGTATCGTGAAGAAATTTGGGATATTGAAATTGCCGCTCATAATTTTGTTCACCCAACTATTGCTCGCATGCTGCTTCCGTAGCGACGTTAGACTTCTGGGAGTCGGTTTGAAGTCTAGATCGGGATCTCCAACTTTTTCAGCACTTGCGTCCTTGCTGTCTGTGACAGCAGTTGTTGTTGACGCTGCAGCTTCAACTTCAGGCATCTTCCTGCACTGGTCTTTGGGCTCAAGGATTCTGGGATTTGAGCAGGACAGGGTTGCAGGTTTCCTTGTAACCAAACAAGCCGAAAACCAAAAAACACCAACACCAACCTAGAGTCTCTGTGATGTCTGACTTCAGGCTGGCCATTCCGTCCTTGTCCTCCCCAAGAAGTTCGGCCAGATTCTCACCTGTTGTTGATGCGGCGCTCGCCTCTGGAGTGGCTTCTGTTGTCTTGGCAAGATCTACCTTGGGTGACATCGCTGCATCCTCGCCCAGAAGCTCGGCAACGTCCTCGGCTGTAGTGGATGTCGCACTGACTTCTGCAGAAGCTTCGGTATCTTCGGGGACCTCCTCCTTGAGTGGAATCACTGAGTCCTCCGCTGTAGTTGACGCCGCGCTGGTCTGTGGAGTCTCTGGTGCTGCGTCCAGTGCCTTGGCAATCTCCTCCCTCAACGGCTCGCCCGAGTCTTCCTGAAGTGGCATGGAGTCCCCACCCTGGGTCATTTTGCTGGCTGCGTCGGTCTCATCCTCGTTCAGGAGCTTCGTCAAGTCCTCGGTCGTTGTAGTCGCAGCTTCTGCCTTACTGGTCCCAACGCCAAACTGATATGAGAGCTCCTAAGAAGGGCCCCTTTTGGAATCCTTGAACCCTGTACATCCCTACAAAATGCCAACTGGCCCGATATATCCACTATATCGGTATTCTCAAAATATGGGCCAGTTTTGGTTATAGCTTATATTTCAGCACCTCATATTTAGAGGTACTCACATGAGACTCTAATTTTTGGGAACTACCCATATGACAACCTTTTTAGGCCCCTGGTTTGTGGCAACATGCCCAAAATCAAGAACGACTGTGTCATGAGAAGTGGAGCCTCTGCCTTCAAGTCAGCAGTGGAAGGCTCTAGCTGCTCCTTCAGGGTGATCCTTTAAGTGAAGGCTTCAGGGTCTATGAGTCTAGGCTGTTTCGGGTTTAGGGATCACCAAAGAGGGTTCCTCTAATTCCCCTGCAAAGAAATCCCACGTGCTCCTCATTCATGTTTCCGGCCATGTCTTGAGCCGGGACCGCCATGGAGTTCGTGAGGTCGGCTACATCAATGGTTGTGGTTGCTGGTTCCTGTGGCAAACTTCATCTTCCACAACCATGGAGATTTGGGATGTAGGTGCTGTCTACAGGCCTACAGCAGCCGAAAGAAAAACAAAACAAAACAACATTTCCATTTTCGTCTTGAGCTCCGTCTTTGACATCTCTCTGGCCTTGATGCTGGCGCTCTCCTCGACCTTGCCGGCATGGGTTTAAAATGCTAAGCCCTGGACCCTAAATCATGAAGTGTCACGGCTTCTGATGTGGTTGTTGCTGCTGCCATCTTCAGAACTTCTGAAGCCTCCACAAAATTGCAAAGGGCAACGTGAACGTGAGGCTTCCCAAGCATCTTGGTTCTAGCAATCCCTCCGCTAGTGTAGGATCCTTCGATTTATGTTTTTTGGGGCCCCCACAGCTGGGGCGTCCTGCACCTGGTTGTCAGCAGCCCCTGAAGCCGCTGCTGTGCTGGAACTCTGACCCGGGAACGGAAGTTCGTTGATTGCAAGCTTGCGCCAGAGGTTCGTCCAACACTTCTCCTGAAGGGTTTTCTCCAGATGCCATGTGTTAGAGGCTATTCTTCAGCTTGTGCCTCGTTTTTTGAAACCTTACATCATACAGCCCCTTATCCTCAATTGGGCTAAACAGGGAACCCTACGCTCTAACGGTTGGGCTTCTGTATTCCTTGCTGCCATGCCCCAGCAACTTTCTGAATACTTTCCCTTCCACCATCTTGGGGGTCCCAATACTAAGGATTATTATATAATCGGATCCCCCAAATTAGGGAAACTACCACCCGCCTTTGATGCCTGGTGCTACCCAGAGAGCCTTTCAATAAGGAACGTTGTCCAAACCATGTTGGGATCCCGCGAATGATTCAAGATACGTCCCCGTCCCCCTGCAAAAGAGAGCCTGTACATACATATATACATATATACATATATATATATATATATTATAGATATAGGTATGTATGTCCTGAACCATATCATGATCCCGAGTATGAGTTAAGGTATGGATATCGGTCTCCCTGGATGATGGCAGCACTTCTCCTCTAATTCCGGGCTCTCCGCCATGCTCTGTCCCAACCTCTGCGGTCTCTTGGGGTTTTGGGGTTGAGGGTTTTAGGATTTTAGGGTTTTGGATTTTTTGGATTTTAGGGTTTTAGGATTTTAGGATTTTAGGGTTTAGGGTTCAGGATTTTGGTGTTCAGGGTTTAGGGTCTATCTTTCTTACATCTTAGGTTAGTGCCGGTTACCATAACCGTTGCCCGAGAGGTACAAGGAATACTTAGCAGCTCCTTAACAAAAGCCCTTTGAGGACCGTTGCCGTGAGCGGGAATGGCGACAGTTACAATATTCATAACCGGGTCCTATGCCGCTGCCTCAGGCAAGGGAAACAACAATGGGAAAGGAGAAAGGGTTTCAAACACAGTCGAAGCCTTAAGCCCCACATCCCACACCCTGAAGCCATGTAGTCTCAAACCAAACTCCAATGAGCTACGCCCTCAACCCTGACCCACAAGCCCGAGGTCGTATGGTTGTTAACATCTTCTTTTTCATCCCCAACTGCCAGAGGTCATCATGCCATCTGTCAGAAAACCTAGATTATTTCAGAGAAGATCAGATGGGCAACTAGCAGCTCCTGCTGACCTAGACCCCTAACGCTTTTCAAAAAGGCGCTGGAAGAACAAAACGCACTCTCATGTAACCCTCCAGACCTGCAAAACCCTAAACCCTAAACCGTAAACACCAAACAGTAATGACAACGAGCAACTCCTTCGTGGGGTCACAGGCCAGCTCCATAGCCTGGGTTGCTGTTAAGGAACTCAAACCAAGTTACTATTTTCAAAAGCCTGTTGTTAACTATATAACCATATTGCTTAACTTAAATTCCATAACAGCAACCCAGTAGCAGCTTTAGTGTCCAGGACGATCTGTGGAATCGCAGGCTCTACCTTCCTGAAGGTTGCCTGGGGGCTCATGGTTTGGGGTTTGGCGCTTCGGGTTTGGGGCGTAAGGTTTGGAGCTTCAAGTTTCAGATCTCTGGGTTTAGAGTTGCAGTTTACACTTTGGTATAATGGTAACCTTCAAAGGCTGTGTTGCAGCACCATCGGGAATGGACAAGATAACAGAAAAAGGAAAAATGGAAACTACCACATTCTTTAGGCTTAGGGCTTGCAGGAATGCATCCGACCATGGACACCAGCAGGATATTATGTTGGATTTAGGGTTAGGCAGTAGGAGATAATCAGGGACATTCAGCGGGAATACTGAATGTAGATCCATTCTTCCATCCCCTACTAACTACCGACGAACCGTATCCCTAGTAAAACTAACACAGAGTTCTGCCACAAGCACGGCATCAGTAGTTTTGGTAAAGGACGTTGTGTGCTTCCTGGATTAATTGGGGAGTGTAGGTTTCCGGGTTCAGGTCCTTAGCGGTAAAGCGTTGTAGCGCTGAAAAGTTGTAAGCTCTCAGGCTTTAAGGCCTTAGGCGAGTTGCGTCGTCAAAGCTGAAGACATCCGTAAAGGCCACTACCATGAGGTTATATTTGGTAAGAGCCGGAGCCAGGTTTGTGTCGGTGAGGATGCGCTCATAAGCGACGCCCGTGCCACTCATCATGCTTGCGTCCTGGCACGGTGGTGATAGGCGGAGTGGTGGTGGGGGGTGGGGGTGGTAGTAGGTCGTGCGTCCTGTTCATGCTGTTGCTCTTGGTGCTGGGCATGCATGTGATCATCTAGCAGCCAGCTATGGGAACCAACTCTCTTGTGTGTGGTCTAATGCTTCACCCACCTTTCGTTATGTGGATGTACGTGTGCCGCTTGGCACTGGGTTGTAGAGAATTCTTCTATCCTGACAAGCTCGTTCATAGGTCAAATCTGATACCCCCTATACATCTACTCATGTTTCTGCGTGAAACAGAGCGTTCAGCAAATTCCGTTGCATTTCATCGGGCAAATGTCCAGCGCATCCATGGCGTCGAAGAATTCCTGCAAAACATCAGTTGATTTTGGGAATTTTGGAAACCAAAGCCTCTGGGTGGCGGAACGATTGCCATGGAGCAATCATTTTGACAGGGGGGAGTTGCAGTAGAAGTTACTGCTGTGCTTTCTGCTGCTAAGCTTTCTTCTAGCTTCTTGAGTCTCAGACTTCATTCTTCATCTGCGTCAAACGAACCCCATGCAACACTTGGTTTCAGCATGAATGAACGAACACATGAATGAATGCTTGAAAAAAGGATGGGTCAACGAGTGACTGGCTGAGTGAACAATTGGCTGAAAGAATGGGCAAATGAAGTAATCAACGAATGCATGCATGCATGATCGTACATGCATGCATGCATAACTGAAAAGCTGAGTGAATGAAGATGAATGTCAGAGCGAGTGAGTGAATGACTGGCTGGTTGGCTGGCTGAAAGACTGGCTGCGTGTGAAATGAGCGAACGAAGCAGTGTGCGAGTGAGGGCATGAACGCATGAATGAACGAATGGGCGTGAATAAACGGATGGATCGATTGCCCGCATGGATCGGTTACCTGGTTGGATGGACGGATGGATGCATGGATCGATGGATGGATGGTTGTACGCATGCAAGAATGCGATGTTGCTGCTGCCTCTGTTGCTGGCGATCATGTAGGTGTAAATGATGGTGATGATAATGATAATGATAACGAAGATGATGATTAGTAGTAGCAGTAGCAGCAGTAATAGAAGTAGCAGCAGCAGGGGGGGTAGTAGGAGGAGGAGGAGAAGTAGTAGACCTGCATGTAGACGTAGTAGTGCCAAGAGCAGCGGCAACAGTAGTTCTGGCAGCAGGAAGTAATGGTAGTGGTAGAGGTAGTGACAACGGAAGTGGTAGTAGCAGTAGCAGTACTAGTAGTCTCACTACTGTAGCAGCAGCACTGGCAGTTATTTCCGTTTTTAGTACGTAGTAGTAATCGTTGTTTTTACTGCTGCTGCTGCCGCTGCTTCCTCGGACACATGCTGTCGAAGTAGCTGCAAGCTGCAGCCTGTCCTCCACAGCCTCCTTCAGTTTTCGGAGCAGTCTCAAGCCTCAGATGCGTCCAAGCGCAAACAGACTGCAAGTCATCATCCCATGGTACAACAAAAGCACGTTGCTTCCAAATTCAAGGGTTAGGATTTCCGGAGCAAAGCTGTTTCGCAGATATCCCCAGTCTGCGGTGACCTCGCATTTCAAGAAAAGATACTGTCAAGAGCGTTTGTCAAGGGTTCCGGTGGATTATCACCGCATACTTCGGGATTAAGGCTTAGGGCGGTCTTCTTCAGCATCCAGTTTTCCTAAGTGAAAGTCCTGGGGGCTACCGCAGTGTCCCATTACCTTCGTTACGCGTTCCACCCATATAAGCTCCTCCCTACATACACTCTAAACGAGAAGCACAACCCTTTTTGCATCCAGGACTCTACAAGATGCCCTTACCCTGAAACCCTAAACTCGTAAACTTCTTAAGGAGATCCTCAACTCTGACCTTTGCCCGTCTTGATTTCAATATTTTCTAGTTGCCAGGGAAGCTTCAGCGCACAATTGCTCTTCCAACATCAGAACCGCTAACAGATTTGGCAGTGTAAGGGGGTTTCCCAATATTAGGGGTACCTTTTGGGTTCCCAATAAGGACTACAGTATTTTGGGATCTATATATTTCGGTCCCGTCATTTATTCAAACTACCATCTGTGTATATACATATACATGACACGTGACCTTGAATCAATGCAGAATCATAGCATCCTCTGTCCACTATCTCTTCTATATTGAAGGGTTAGTGCATTTGCAGTACAATCCGCCGACTCTAAGCCCAAAAGCCCTTAACTACCAGGCTTAAGCCTTCGAACCTTAGCACCTCTTCGGGCCCTCCCCCGTCCCACGAATAGTAATGAATAGGGTGTATCAGTGCCATATCATAGTTGCATTTGGGCACTCCCCAACCCCTTCACAGTTCTCATGGGTGCAGTAACAGTATGTTACCATTACAAATCAACCCTCTAAACCCTGAGTCCAAGCCTTTGCCCTGAATAAAGGGGTTTATATAATCCCCTAAACCCTTAACCCTAAGCCCAAGTTACTCTCTGCGCCCTTGTCGTGCTTGCGCTGGGCTTCGGCGACCTGGTCACCGGCCTCAACTTCAAAGACAATGCTGGGAGAGGTTTGGAGGCTTGGGTTATACTTATTTTCTTTTTTGGAATCTAGAGCTTCGAAGTTTCAAGCTTGAAGGATTAGATGTTTAGGGCGTGCTTTAGGGATGAAAGGTTTTAGAACTTCAGATTTATAGGATGGTGTCCTTAATCACCTCCCCCGGGATGAGGCTTACAGAATTTCGGCCTAAGAGTCCCTTCTTGGGCGTGCCCATGATAAGGACCTCATTCCTTTGGCATTTAGAAGGAGGGTCTCTCTTTCGGAAACTCCGGGTTTACGTTCTGCAGTTCATCGGATTCAGGGCCCAAGGTCAAAGTGAGGGTTACGCACGCGCAACATATTGCGGGCTGCGTGGGGTTTGTGAGGGTTGCATACAGCCTCTCGAATTTATTGTTCGAGACCTCCGATTACTTCCCTGCCCTCCACGACTCCTTCTCTCTCCCCCTGTAGGTTCAAGGTGTACGTTCTGCACAGGACGACAATAGCTGTAATCAGGCATGTTGAGCAGCGATGAATCGCAGGAACTGATGTATGTGTGTGCCTGTTTACAAGGAGCCCGATCAACATGGAGGGGCCGATCAGCCATGGCTGCGGCTGCTGCTGCTGCTCCTTTTCTGGCCTTTGGTCAGCTGGAAATGAAGGAATGGACAGGAAAACGGAAACTACTGTATTCATGGGTATTCTAGGGATTACTATAGGGACACATTCCTTCATTCCTGGCTAACCAAAGGCCAGTTTTAAGTTCACCTGCCATCCCCGACCTTACTGTATGCATGCAGCAAACCTTCAAACAGGCTTTCATGTTGCCCTTGCTTGTGCCAGTTGATCGTGCGCCCCTAGACTATAAGCCTATATCACCCTCACTAGCAGCATTTAGCACAACTGCCAAAGCACTAAGCCCTGAGCACGTGACTTGATCCTATACCAGATGGCTCCTCTATAGCCAGGCTGATAACCATCTAGAACTCTATACTCCATAGCCGCACTTTAAACCCTGAACACCAATCTAACTCTTCGAGCCCACATGACCCCCATGCACAGCCTGTTTCAAGCTCATGTGCATTTCCTGAAAAAACACTGCCCTCCTCAAGCAATGGAACCCACAACCTTCCAACCCAAAAACCTAGACCTAAACGCCAAACCCCTCATAGCCCAAACCTCTCAAAAATCCTAAATCTCACACTCGCATACCCTAAGCCTTGAGCCTCAACATCTGAAACTCTATAGCCCCCCTTAAGTAGATGGAATATGGAATTGCCCAAAATCATAAGAAGATCCGCATATGCCCCACATTGTATGGCTAGGTACCCCAAAACCCTAAACCCTGAAGGGGGCTATGCCGCAAAACCCTCTAGCATTGGCCTCAGCCTCCTCCAAATGGGCCTTCCTGAGTGTAGCTTTATGGTTTAGGTGTTTAGGCGTTTAGGGTTTAGGGGGTTGAAAGGAAATCTTGGGGTCTTTTAAGGTATATAGGGATATTGTAAAGGACGTAGACCTATTATAGGGGATATAGGGATACCGTAAGTGATGTAGACATATTAAGGGGGATAGAAGGATTTTACAAGGGATGCACATCTAGCATAAGGGACATAGGTTATTGGGACGGTGTCCCTGTGGACAATTGAAGTCCATATTCGAGATGATGATGCACTGTCATACTTTAGATTGCCCCTACTACAAGCATGACAATTTATTGAAGTTCTCGCCCCTATGACATGATATTTGTTGCTCTTGCAGGATCTCTCCTCAATACGATGCTGAATTGGGAAGATGGCTTTCAAGAGGGTCCATAGTTTACAAAGCAGCTCTGATAGAAATGCTCCAGGGGTTGAGGGTTGAGGGTCAAGGGTGTAGGGTTCTTCCAGGATGGTAAGTGTTCTCCCAGTTGTCTCAACATCCAAAAGCTAGGAGCAGAGTAAGAATGTCCCAGTTACTACTGCTCCAAAACTTGAAGTCAAACAATTTTGGGACGATTTCCCATGTGAGCTATAGTCTAAACTCCTAATATCCCCCTTAATATACCCTATAGTAGTCCTCTATATTATTCCCCATATAACCCCCTGTAAGGAGTTTAGACTATAGCTCATGTAAAGCATCCTCTGGGTTAAAATCGGGTTTCGGGTTTTAGGGGTTTAGAAACTTGCCCTGAAAAAAAAGAGGCCCGCCGAGCGTCATAGCCTCGTCCAGGGCCTCTTCCACCCTTGCCTGGATGGCTGAGAGCTCCTGGCAACTTGGGGGTTTCAAAAAAAATTAGGGGTACCTTTTTGGGGGTCCCTATGATAAGGACTATAGTATTTTGGGGTTTATATTGGGGTCCCCTTATTTTGGGAAACTACCACTTCTCTTATGGGTTAGGGCATTCATGGTTTGCCCTTGGGCTAAATGGTTATGTAGGGATAACGGAAAAGAAAGTGGAAACTACTATTAAGGGTTCAGGGTTTAGGGCATTCTGGGGGTTTAGGGTTTAGGGGTTTAGGGTTTAGCAGCTGCTCGTACTGGCCTTCCTCGGGAATGAGCGAAGGGTTTAGGGCTAGGGTTTAGCAACTTCTCTTACTGGTCTTCGCAGGAAATGAGCGAAGGGCAAATAGTGACCATGATAACGATGATGTAGGGTCTACCAAGAGGATCCGTTCCTCCTTTCTTCGTGAACCGCCGCCAAAAAACCGCTGACTTCTACATGGTAGTTTCCCAAAATAAGGGGACCCCAATATAGACCCCAAAATATTTTAGTTCTTATTATTGTGTCCCCCGAAATGGTAACCCTAATTTTGGGAAACCCTAACCCCTATATAATCCCCTATATAATCCCAGTTTCCATTTCATTTTCCATTTTCTTTTCCATTTGATTCTCCATTATAGTAACCATAGGTGCCCCTAATTTTGGGAAACCCAAAACCCTAAACAGTAGTTTCCATTTTCCTTATATAACCCCTTTAAACCCCTTTAATGGGACCCCTAATTTTGGGAAACCCCCCCAAATCTCTAGGGATCTTGAGCTCAAGCTTTGGGATGCTTTCCTATTTTTTTGGACCTGCCCCTTGTATCTCCCTTAGAACGCCTATAGTAGTTTAGGGTATAGGATTTAGGGTTTAGGGTTTAGGGTTAGTCCCCTATATCCCCTATATAATCCTTTTTAAGAAGTTTGTTCAGACCATAGCTCTCATGATATTAACAAAGTTTGAGGCATGAAGCTGCCGAGGTCAGAAGACTGAGGAGCCTAAAAGGATCGACAGCCCTTGGTGTTGGTGTTGGGAGCAGCTCCTTGCACGTCTTCTTGTGGGTTGCTGTTACGGAACCCAGTTTAGGTTACTATACCGGGGAACCCTACTCGTACATATATCTATATATACCAACTATGGTAACTTAATTTAAAAATTCCTTAACAGCAACCCAGTCTTAGAGCCTGTAGGGAATGCCCAGGCCGGGGCAAGTATCAACGATTCACGCAACACCCTACGCCCTAGACAACAATGCCGTGCCTCCTGTGCTTTTTTTGCTCTCTTCTCAGCTTCCACCTGAAGGGGCACATTTGGGAGCCGAAGTTGCGAAGCTCTGTTTGTTTGGGGCAGAAATGAACCAAGACGTCAAGATTTTGCAGCTACCTTAGGGCCACTTAACTCCAGAAACTACTCTTCTTCTGCATCTCGGCAATGCGCAGACCATGTTGCGAAGCAAAGCCGTCACAGTACTTGCGGAGGCAAGCAGACCTTAAGAAACATGGAACTGCCCACCTTATAGGGACTGGGCAACGCCGAAATCCAAATCTCAGGGAGAAAGGAGGAATCTAAAACTTACCTTTGAAACCTGCCAGCCGATTAGATGGGGCCATGCTGACAAACGTCGATGTAAGGATATGTTGTACCCAAAACATGTGGACCCCATAAGCGACCCCAAAATTGTGGGTACCCCCCCAAAAGGGTACCCCTAATTTTGAGAAAATCCCATGAAAGGGTCTGTAGGGTTGCACGGGGAATACGAAGGAGTACCTTGGCACCGAGGATTTCAAGTCGACACCCAACATATACACTCCTCAGCATTCCTCAGGAACCCTATGTACACGCACCAAAACCTGAAGAAAGACAACTGTGCTAACTATATGTACTATATATACACATATACGTGATTATAGTGGGATTACACACAGTACATAGGATCTAGGTTGATGCCTGCTGCTCTTCCGTCTCTTTTTTCAGCTTCCCAGAGGCCAGGGCCTGTTGGGCTGAGGGGCGCGGGGGTCTCTCATACGCTAGGCGACCTTAAGCAGGCATGTGAGTTATCAGTAGGTTGTGGGGGTCACTACTAGCTATTACGTACGGGCTGTTTTAAGAAATGATCATATAGATTCGGCCTTATTCGGGGCGTTTCTCATAACCTTCAGTATTACAGATGGGCTCAGAATGGTGATTCTGAGGAACTCCTGCGAATCTAAACAAAGCCCGCTTTGTCATGTTGTGCTTTTTGCTTGCTTTGCCTTCCACTTATGGACCAAATCCAGCTTCTCTGCACTGCAGCCGCACAAGCCCGAGCTTGAATTTGTGCATCTGATTGTTGTCATAAAGGTTTCTCAAAGCAGGGACCCATGGTGACCCTGGCTGTACAGGGATCATAGGGGCCACCTGCACATCTGTACCGCACTTGGCACGATCTTGAGGCGATTTGGGTTCTGAAAACACCCTGTGTTGAATAAGTGAGACCCCTTTTAGAGTCCCTATGTATCCCTAGGGAATGTAAGAGCCATTCAGAGGGCCGCTCTGAGAAATTCCCGATTAGATGGCCTTATCCTTCTTCTGCATCATATCCTGCTCCGCAGCATCGCGCTCCACACGCTTCTCCTCTGCGGCCTTGCAGCTTCTGCGGGACTTTGGCGCTTGCGTGAGGCCTGTAGGGGTCATACATGGTTTAGTCCTTGGAAATACTGTAGGGAAGTCAGAGAGATAAACTGCTGTTGATTCACATTTCTTTCGGACAAGCTGCTGCCGTAATGATGGCATTGGGGTGGGCCCCATTGCCATTTTTCGCAGCAGCATTGCTGGGTTAAGGAGAATTCCTTGTAGGATCTCAGCTGCTAGCATGACGTGAACCAAATTCCGTTGCTTGCCATAAGCCGTACCCCTGGGATGCCAACCATTTAGTCATAACAATCACCTTTGTAAATTCCTTTCAAGGTACACATCTCATCCTGGGAGACTTTCTCACGTGTGAAGTACTTGCTTGAGTGACTATGCTTGGCGTGCTTTGGGGTCCCCGCTGAGGCAGAAGGGCTTGTGCAGAGGGGTTCTGAGCTTGAGGGGAGAGTTTGACATCAAATGTGTGAATCTTGCATCAATCCCGGCTAGTGCCCGCTGCATCACTCAAACACGAAAAAGCAAGTAAACACAACTGCCGACCCTCAGCTCTGCATGCTTGAGGCCACCTATAAAGATCCCTATAAAACCTACTTGACCTTGTAACCCCATTCGGAAGCACTCCTACGTTGCTCCATCTGGCCTTCTTGGCATTTTCCAGCTTGGACTTCATGGCTTCGATGCTTTGAGTCATTGCCTCCTCCTGGGCTTCGACACCTGGAAAGGAGGTTTTAGGGGATGAGCTATACAGGGGTATACAGGGATATGTGATACTATTGCTAGGGTTTAGTGTTCTAGGGGCAAGGGCCTCAGGGTATGACAGCATGGTGAATTGAACTTCTAGGGCTAAGGGCTCTTAAGGATGAGCATGAAAGGTTTCAGAATTAAGGGTTTAGGGCTTTAGACACGCGCATGGCGCAAGCAAGCACGGCAAAGACTTTTTAGAGCTTGAGGGTTGAGGGCTTCAGGGTTATGCGCTCTAGGGTTGGGGGTTTGGGGTTGCGGGGTCAGGGCTTCGGGTTTGAAGGCTCCAAGGTGAAGCTCTTCAGGGTTACGAGCTTTGGTGTTGAAGGCTTCAAGGTCTATAGCCCCCCTTAAGTAGATAGCATATGGCTTTGGGTATATTAAAATAAGATGCGTGCCCCATATTCTATCTACTTAAGGGGGACTATAAGGCTTGGGGGCCCTCTGTCTTGGTATCACTTCAATGGGGCATGCTTTAGGAAGTCTATAACACAGCAGCGCACAGGCATCGTTTGGGTGCAGGTTGTGGGGTGGGTCTGCCCAAACAGTCAGAATCAGCTATGTGGTACGTACCCTAAACCCCAACACCTAAACCATCATGCTACGGCTGTATAAGGCTCGAGATGATAAGGATCAGAAGGGAACAGCATGTTAATAGGACCCTAGTAGAGTCATATCATATGATACTTTTAGGGCCCTTTCTGTAGGGGATGGAGTAACCAAACACTCCCTAGTAGGGCTTAGAAGCCATATAATGACCCCAGATATCCTTATCATGCACCTACACACCAAGGCCCCCTGACCCTCCAAGTGGGGTAAGAGTTCCAAAGCAAAGTGATCCGGTTTCACAGGCTTTGCCGGGTTAGGGCTCCAAACTTTGGGGTTTAGGGTTTGAATAGTTTAGCCGCCATAGAAAGAACATCACCTCCAGAAAAGCTGGGTCCTTGCACATTCTAGTATTCAAGACCTTGAACATCCTACGCTCTACGCTCCTTCCTGTTCTCCGCCCCAGGACTCCAAGATAAACACCTACATAATCCTAGCTTCCATTTCATTTTCCATCTTCTTTTCCATTTGATTCTTTATTGGGGCTATTATCCCTATATACCACCCTAAAGTCTTCCGCCATACTGTGTAAACCCTTAACCCTGACCCCCTAAACCCTAAACAGGTGTTGTGGGAGTTTCACAGGCTACCTCTTGAAGCGGGCCAGATCTCACAACAAAAGCCAAGGTGGGCCCTACTTTTGGGTTGTATATACGGACCCAGCATTGGAATAAAGGAAACTCAAAGGAAATGGAAACTACTATTTAGGGCTTATATAAGGTTGTTTTTCAGGGATATAGGGATATATATATATATGTATATATACATACCCAATAATGGCCCAAACCCTAAACCCTAAACCCTAAGCCCAAACCTGCACCTTAAAACTCCCAACACCCAGCTGTAGCAGCCAGACTTACTACCAAAATGGTCTTTATGGTACCATAACCTGTGGGAAAGTCAAGCCGCGACAGTAAGATCTGAGCCATAGTCTAAACTCAGAGTATCCCCCTTAGTATACCCTATAGTAGTCCCCTATATAATCCCTTATATAACCCCCCTTTAAGGAGTTTAGACTCTAGCTCATCTGAAAAGACAGGCCAAGCCTTTTTGAAGAACTTCCAATTCTGAGCTGAGCCTTGATAAACAACTTCTTGTTGAGGATTTAAGGTTTAGGGTTTAGGATTTAGGGTGGGGTACTTCACAAGGTTGAGGGTTTCTTCGTCTATCGTGTAGTATATCTGCTTAGTACACTGTCTAACGTATTGGCCTTAGGCGGTTCAGTTTATTGAGGGTTTTGGTATATTGTACAAGATACCTTCTTCAAACGGCTTGAGTCAAGGGTTTAGGGAATACATCAAGAATGCTTGCGCTTCATGGGCTTTGAAGTTAAGCCAGGCATTGCTTTGGGCTTACTCACACTGGCACCAAGCACAACAGGCAATGAAGCCGCAGTGCTATCACGAACGACTTTCCCGCGGAGTCGTTACGTGCGTTTTTCTTAGGCAAGGAGCACGCTTCCACTAACTTCTATCCGACAAAGTCGGTAGACCCCTTCACGGTGTGCGTGATACGCGTTTGTACTGAGCCCACAGTTCTCCGTATTAACATCACCGATGCCCAAAGGTAGGTAGGGAGCCGTGGTATACCAATTTAAATGAGCTACCCAATGTGAGTGGCCTCAAGTGTCGACCCTACGCACACGTGCAGCTGTTGCCACAAGATCCTTGCAACCAAGCACCTATATTTCAGGCAGAAGCATCAGTAATTAGTACCGTAATTCCCTTGTAGCCTTTCTATAACAAGAATACATACCCGACAGCTCTATTCTCTATAGGCCCTTATGGTAGCCAGCCGCTCCTTTTCACCGAGACCTGCAAGGGACGTGGGACAGGTCCTCTGAGCTAAGCAGCTGGTTCCACAACTCCAGGGCTTTGTCCAAGTCGCCCGAGTGCAGCGTATGCGCTGCAATGGCCTTGTCGAGGCTGACCATCACTTCACGACTCTTCTGCTCCTCAGAAGCTGAATTGTGAGGTTTTTGGTCAGAGTCTACCACAACCCACAGCCACGATTCCTATCGCCATCAAGGATGCCTTATCCAGCGCGCCTGGTTCTTAGATTGTTCGCCTTCCCCATCAGGGCCTCCTGTGTAAGCCACACTTTCAGGACTTAAAGAATGAAAGTATGTACTATCATCCTGAGAAAATTCCAGATTCCAAAGCCCCAAACCAAAGATATCTTGCTTCTGTGGGTTGCCATCATGATTTGGGCCCCGGCCCATCTCTAAATCTAAGCTCCTGCAGCCCTGAACACCCTCAAGCTCGGACGCAGCAACCCATAGGGGTATTATTAGGGTTGTATTGGGGTTATATCGGGATAATGGAAACCAAAATGGAAACTACTATTTTGGGTTTAGGGTTTAGAGCATGATGAGATCTTACACACCTCGAATCTTTCAAAACCTTGTTGCCGACGCGATGTTGTACAGGGCTTTGTAGGGATAGCTAGGGTTTCGGATATTGTCCAAAAATCGGGAATTCTATAGTAAAAACTCCTTGTATCCCCTTTCATAACCCCTATTCTACTCCCCTATATAACCCCCTTCAAGACGTTTACACTAGAGCTCACATGAAACTACATATAACCCCCTTCAAGGAGTGTAGACTGGAGCTCACGTGAAACTACAGGCCTTGAAGCCCTAAACCCTGAACCGCGTCCTCCTCCTCGACGGCTAGGGCCTGGCTTTTTGCATCCTCCAAGAGGGCCATCTTCTTGGCCTAAGCGGCTTCTTTGGGAGCTTGGGTATATAGGTATTTATAGGGATATGTAGGGATGTATCGGGGCATATAGGGATATGTAGGGGTATGTGGGGATGTAGCCTAAGCGGCTTCTTGGGAGCTTGGGGATTAGTGGCTTAGGCATCCCACACCCAATCAGTTAGATCTGAACGAAACTGATGCTGCCAACAAGTAGTCCCCTTTACGTAGATAGAATATGGCTTTGGGTATATTGTAATAAGATCCCCATATACCCCATATTCTATCTACTTAAGGCGGACTATAACCCTAAACCCTAATCCCTAAATCCTAAACCCTAGACCCCATATTCTATCTACTTAAGGGTGACTATAAGTCGAGGAAGGAATGGTTGGAGCACTGCCAGGCGTAAGCAGCAAAAGCAACAACAGGGCCGGCACCAGCCCCACCCTCCGCTGCCACCCCACCAACATCCTACATAGTAGTTTCTATTTTATTTGCCATTATCCCAATACAACCCCAATATGATCCCAGTATAATCCGAATATGATCCCAGTATAACCCCAATTTGATCCCATTATAGCCCTCAATATGACCCGAATATAATCCATATGTACCCCCACTATATAATCCCAATGTAACCCCTATCTAACCCCTTTATGTCAGCAAGCAACAGCAACAGCAACATTAGCAGTGGCAAGAGCGAAAGCAGGCGGCGGCTGCAGCTGAAAATTCGCCTCCACCCTCTGCTCCTGTTGCGGCGGCCTTCTGCCACTACTGCTACAGATATACTGCTTCAGGTATCATCGTATTATATTACCTTATTACAATATTCTGGTACTGCTCCTGTTTGCTTTTGCTACTGTTACTGTTACTGCTACTACTACCACTACTACCACTACCACTACTACTACTACTACTACCGCTGCTGCACCTGCTACTCCTGTTGCCAGTACGTTGGTACTACAATCGGCACCACTACCACCACCGCCATCAGCATTACCACCACCACAACTACAATGATGATTGCAACAGCAACAGCAGTGAGGAATGGCTAGACATTAATAAGCTGAAGAGAGAGGAAAGAAACTTAGGCGTCCAGCACCAAAGGTCTATGCAAGGTTATATTACCTCAAAACGCACTAGAGGCTGAACCCTAACCCCCAAGCTACCCTCTGAATAGGAGACGAAAGGGTACCTCTCGCAACCGGAGATGCTCGGGCGGTCTCGTGCTGGGCCTTCTTGGCTGCTGCCTGGACTTGAGTTTGGGAAGGGCGGGCCTGAAGTCAGCTTAGAACATATCGTGAGCAAGGAATTGAACAGAGCATGGAGACTACAAAATATTTCAGGTATAGGGTTTGGGGTTGCACAGCGGCAGAAGCCCCACTTCCTGTCCCTGTTACCCATTCGGCTTCTTGAAGTGATGGGGGTAAACTTTCTGCGGCTGATTTTTTTCTGAGCCCTTGGTTTGGATAAAGGCCATTTCAAGGCTCACTAGGGGATTTGGGGTCAAGCTAAGGCTCAGGGGGTATAGTATACTATAGTATGGCATAATATATTCTAGGATAGTATACTATATTACAGTATAGTATAGTATAACATAGTATAGTTTAATTGGCTCAGTAGCAAGGAACGAGTAAAGTTGCGGTGCAGGGCTTGAGGTTTGCGGTTTAGAAGCTTGTGGAGGACTTGGACATTGTGAAATAGAGATTCAATGTAGGCAGTAGAAAGCTCCCAGGGAAACTGCAAACCCTAAACTCTAAACCCAAACCCCTACAGAATCCCTATGTTGCTCTATAATATATAGTCATTTCCATCTTCTCTTCCGTTTTCCTGATATTACCCCAAAATCACGAGCTGCTTCCAGCTTCCACATTGCTTGCAGATGACGCAGCCTAGAAATAATGATAGTACTTATAAGAATCAGAGTAGTAATCATAGTACCCTAAACCTAACCCTAAACACCTAAACCCCTAGTAACAATGGCAAAAAAGGCATTCTTTTTGCCTGGCCTCATCTCGGGCGGCGCTCAGCGCTTGCACGTGGCCATGCGAGGCCCGTACAGCCAGCTGTAGAGCCTTTGAGGGGGATTAGGGTTTGGGTTTAGGGTTTAGGGTTTGGATCATCTAGGGGTTAGTGGGGCCTTATAAGCGGTTATAGGAGGATCATAAAATAACATTACTGCTATGAATTTGCTTTGACCGTTTAGGCGTTGTTCGCGCAATGTGAGGCCTGTGTGGGGTAGCAAGTATGGTAAGGCATTGGTATTTTGGGGGTACGAAGCACGCATCTACTTTTTGAAAGCCACCCACATGGTTCGCGGTTTGAGGATTAGACGGATTGTGTATCGTGAGAAAGGTTGAAGCAGCAGGCCAAGGTTTGGTCGATTAATTTTCAAGCGGACAGCTACCATGTGGGTACCCACACATCAGGCTTGCATAGGGCTACAATATGCTAAGAACATGAGGTATGTAAGCCTCATGTAAGGCGTGCATGTTCGAAACAACCCATTGAACATTCCTTTCTGTTTGGGTTGTCCCAACCTGGGATACCCGTCGGAATCCTAGCGGGCAAGGAGTGCAGGCTTGGCTGGACAGTTCTTAAGTGCAGCGAGGCTAGCTACTTTGGCAGATACGCAAATTTCCCTATACAATTAGCAGTCCTTATAAAACAGTTTCAAGGCTTCATAGTCAAAATCTACTGCGCGCAAAGCCCAAGAGGCTTTGCTGATGGCGCTGGGCACCATTCCGGCGCCCTCGTGGACTCCGAGGAAGGCTGCCGGAGGGTCCTTTGGGTCACTACGTATCTGAGCGCATAGGGTTTAGCGTTTAGGTTTACTCCGCAAGGCACGTCACGTGGTTATTGCACGGCCACCCTGACGATATAGAAAGGCACCAAACACGTGAGTCCTCAAAAACAAGCAGTAGAGGGTTGTCCGCAGTGTCCTAGATCACAATATTTTGTAGCCGTGTTACAACCCTTATTATAGGTATCCCCAACAAGGGTGCCCCTAATCGGATCGGGCGGGCGGGCGGGCGGGCGGGCGGGCGGGCGGGCGTGCGTGCGCGTGCGCGCACGCGCCACAAAATCTAGGTCGCTTAGGGTCGTTGCCCGTGACAGTATCAGTTACTGCAAGAAGTAAAAGGAGTTATAGTAGCCCTCTATTGTAAGGGGGAATACCCCAATAGGTCAACCTTCTGTAAACTCTTTGCACAGGCTTTCATAAGCCATGTAGCCTAAGGCCAGTTTGGAGCCAAAGTGATAAGGCAGCCATTTCACTATGGGGCACCTCTCACCCACCCATGAACCTCCAAGTGTGCCCTTGTGCCTGGACGCTAGACACCAGACCCTCAACCTGAGACTCTCAACTTTCTGTTTGTTAGCCGGGAATGGATGACTAGATCCCCATAATTGCCCCCAGTTAATCTCCAATACTATATACACTTCTCTATAACACAAGAGCTTCCATCGCCTTTTCCGAATCCTGTTTGACCTAGCAGCCTGCCACAGAGAATGTCCAAATACGGAGTCCTTACGACATGTGAGGGGCTTATCCAAACTATCATCTCGTTTTGCAATCCCATGAACATACAGCCCCGAACATATGAGGTACCCAGGAAGGGACCACAATTTGCACAACCTTCCTTCATGTGAGCGATAATCTAAACTCCAAGTATCCCCCTTAGTAACCTCTATAGTAGTTCCCTATATTATCCCCTATATAACTCCCCTTCAAGGAGTTTGACTATAGCTCATGTGTACAGAAGGATGCCCCGCCTTGGAAACGTCCCTCCAACCTGAGCCCTCAAGTAAACGTGATAAGAAAACTCGAAACCCAAATCCTGAACTTGACTTGGTATTGGGTCTAGTTTCTTTGAGGATTAATGGCTTGGCAACCCCAACCCTTGAACATGAGGACCCTCTAGATACCATCCGACTGCGTTGCGGGCTCTAATTTTGGTGATTGAACTTACAAAATGTCATTGAATATGCATGGACCGGAGTCATCACTGTTTTTCGGAAATCCTAAGACTTCAACCGAAACGCCCCATCTGTGGGGTAGAAGCCTGAATAACTACGAATATTTTGCCCTAGATGTCTCATATGGCTATGCCGACGCAACTGATTTGGCCTGCCGACCCTACGAAACTCCTATATCCACCCAGTTCCCTTTCATTTTCCAGTTTCTTATCCATTCAAGTGAGCATTATCCGGCTTCTTTAGCCCTTAAAGCAATAACAAGGTTGATAATACAGGAGTTTCCGTTTTCTTGTCCATTCCCAAATTCTGAATTATATACCCTATCTAACCCCTAGATCCCCTTTAAAGGACATACAAGCCTTATTTTCCTTGGGCTTTCTCTGTGCTGCCTGGGTTCATGCCTCGTTGCGCCTGCTCCGAGGAGGCTGGAGACACAAAACGCAAGGCCGAAGGCTAAAGGACCCATAGCTGTCCTGCGAGCGAAGAAAGGTTTCTTTTTTTAGGGGGGTTTAGGGTCTAGGGTTAAGGTTTAGGGTTTAGGGGTTTCCTTTGTTTCGGTGGGTTTGAGAAGCTTTTCGTTGTGGTTTTGTGGTTTAGGGTTCATGGCTCCGTTTCAGGGTTGCAGATATGGGCCTTTAGGATGCTGGCTGCAGGCTTAAGGGCCTAGCACACAGGATCTCCCACCTCGGCTGGGTCACTTCCGGGCCAATAAGGGAACTCTCCCAAAGTGATCTTTTTCTTTCGGAAACTCACAACTTCCCCTTCCTTCTCATCCCAAAGCATCGCCTTGGTCCTTAAAGGTAACGTTTTTGAGAAACCATGCGTCTTTCCAGGATTTGTATAGGTAGCCTATGGGAACCACAAACAGATTTGCAGGTTGTTGTTGGAACTCACATTTTGCGGGTGGGGGTTTATGGAAAGTCTAGAGCGTCTACGGCCCTCCCTTCGCCATTCAATTCATGGAGCTCTTGGGACATAACATGGGTCCAGGACTCTTGTCCTACATGATCTACTTCAGAGAAAGCACACGATCCTGCTTCTCTGGGTGCTCAAGCCTGGTTATAGTCCTTGCTTGAAATTACCACTGCCAAAAACTTTGATAACCCCGAACCCTTGGATGCTCCTTTGGTTTGTCAGCCTGAGATGATCCCCAAAATCATGACCCAATTGAATCCGCCCCATGGAGATACTATTCAAAGGGCCCTCCACCCTGAACGAACTTGACAACTTCCATGGGACATCCAAGTCCAAGTCTCCTCCGGTCTGTACGAAACAAGAAAGGTTGACAAAATCAACGTTATGCTTGGGCTGAAGTGGCTGCAATGGAACATGGCAGCTGCGGGAAGTTTCCAGAAATGAGGAGTCCTTTTGTGGGAGTACCCATGCTAGTGTTGAGGACTATGGTGTATTCGGGTTTATATTGGGCCTCCTATCTTTGGAACCTACCAGGCCTGGCGCCACCGTATGCTGGGGGCCGTCTTTAGAGTAGTCTTCCATAGGGTTCCACCCAGGGGCCTGTATGAAGCAGCACGCAGACTGGTCACCAAGAGGTTCTCATGGTTTACATTGAACTGTAGGGTGCTTACTGTTAGAGCTCCCAACGGGAGGTACTCTTCTTGATGTTGCTTTCCTGTTTGAAGTTTTAAGTGCTTCCGAAGCCTCCTGTGCCCAAGACTTTTCTCATCAACTTGGTGGTACGCCAGGGTCCTGAACCATTCGCCCAACTAAACAACCCTAAACCCTAAACCCAAAACCCTAAACCCCTTCCCAACAGGGAGACCTGCAAAAAGTGGACCTTCAGTCGCACGAACTAACATGGAAGCCGTAAACAGGCCTTCCATAGACTAGCAGTCCCCCTTAAGGAGATAGAAGAAGGCTTTGGGTACATTACAAGAAGATCCCCATATAGCCCATCTTCCATCCGCTTCAGGGGTACTAAAACCCAAATAATATAGCCCATCTTCCATCCGCTTCAGGGGTACTAAAACCCAAATATATACCCTATTATAATATAGCCGTTTCCAAATTTTTCCATTATCCCTATATAACCCCAACAGTATGCCCCATACTCTATGGGAAGCTGTATCCTTACAAGGACTCCGCAGGTTTTCATGTTCAGAGGCCGGTTTTAACCTACAGGCGGCTGTGGAAAGCATGCTGGATAACGCCAGTGTTCCGTACTATGCCTACTCAGAACTGAGAGGGGCCGAATGCCTTTTCCTTAAATGAGGGTTTCCCAAAATTAGGGGTACATTTTGGGGGTCCCAATAATAAGGACTATAGTATTTTGGGGTCTATATTGAAGTCCCCCTATTTTGGGGAACTACCAAATGGGTTCTCCACTAAATGCTCCAAAATACTTTCATCATGATCATGCGGACCCCCCACGAGACTTTTTAGAACCCTCAACTAATGCTTAGAAAAGCTCCCCCATCGAATCTGATGAAGTTGTAGCAGTGCTTCTACGAAGATGCTTTCTGGCATGCTAGGCTCTGTTCTACTAAACCCCTACCCGCTGGTATTCAGCAGTCATGAAGCGCCAAACATTACCCCAAATTCGAGGACAGGTGTAGAGTCCCCAAAGCCATTCTGAAAGCTTGGCTAGCCAAAAACTCCCAGGCAAGTCAACTTGGGAGTATACCTGTAACCATGAAGATAAGCTTTTCCTTTGCACATGATCCCTCTGAGGCACATGGGTGGAGGCCTTGAATTGCTGTGGAACTTGGAGTTCATGCTGAGCTGAAAGGCGGTTCCGACATTACATTCCGTGAGGTTTAGGGTTTAGGGTTTAGGGTTTCCTGAATCCTACGCCTCAGGTTAGACCCCTAAGGCCTTAACCTAGCCCTTATTTGAGCTAGACTAAACTCCTAGTGTCCCCCTTAATAACCCCTATATAATCCCCTATTATGATGAGTTTAGACTAGAGCTCATATGAACCGATGTAGTCCGCTAAGGTCTTCTTAAAAGGATCCCAAAACCCAGGGGTCCAGCCTTGGGGCCACAACCCTGGAACCCTAAACACTAAACCCTAAACCCCAAACCTGAAAACCTTATAATCCCCCTTCAGTAGATAGAATATGGCTTTGGGTATATTATAAGAAGATCCCATATGCCCCATATTCTATCTACTTAAGGGTGACTATAAACCCAATTTATACCCTATTATACTATAGTAGTTTCCATTTTCTTTTCCATTATCCCCATATAACCCCTATAAAGCCCTTATATTCTATCTACTTAAGGGTGACTATAACCCTAAACCCTAGAACCCTAAACCCTAAAGCCTAGAACCCTAAAACGGGGACTAAACCTTATCTACTTAAGGGGGACTATATGATTACAACCCCTGGAACCCTGATAAATGCGGGCTCTACCTTGCACCACCCATGTAGCCGCACCAGGTCCGCACCTTAAAATTTTACAGGGTTTAGGGGTTTAGGATCTAAACTCCTTAAAGGGGGGTTTTATAGGGGATTATACAGGGGATATATTGGGATAATGTAAAAGAACATGGAAACTACTATTTAGGGTTTAGGGTTTAGGATCTAAACTCCTTTAAGATACTTGGAGTTTAGGCTGTAGCATTGCATCACTATGCGTGCTGTCATCTCAAGCAACGAAGTCCGAGTTGATCAGAGGTACAAAGGTGCAACAATTAGTGCTGAGAAAGCTGCTGGGACAGTGCCCAACCCTCGCCTAAGCACTTTACCTTCCCAAGCCTCTTTGCAAAGTGTCCTGAAGAAGGTAGACCAACTCAAGAAATGCGCCGATGACTATGAAACTCGATTAACATGCCGTAGCCATCACCTTTTCTCATCCCACTGACACAACATGCAATCATCCCAGCGCATATCCTACCTTCGCGGCTGTCTGCACAGAACCCTTGACAGATCAAAACCCTAAGCCATACACCCCCTAACCCCTAAAACCATTTTGCAGCCTCAACCCTGAACCCTTGACCCTAAACTATAAGCCACCTTACCTTTGGAAGCCCTGATGCATTTGAGCATCCAACGAGATTTCACGGCACCTGCGACTGGCCAGCCCTGTACATGCGCCTTGGTCTGGAGGAATAGGGTTTAGGGTTTGGGGATTAAGTTTAGGGGTTTAGGTTTAGGGGTTTATAGGTTTGGGGTTTAGGGTTTAAGATTGGAGGAATACATGGAACTTGAAAATCTGGAACCATCAGGGATTCTGGATTTGTAGAGTCTTAGCTTCTTGAAACATGTGTCACAGTGTAGGTAGATGAGAAATATTGGGAGCATGGAGAAACCTACTTTTTCATTTAAAGAATACAGAGGCTTGGCTTTCTTTCTTGCTCGATTTGGGTGCTCAACCCCCCCAGTGCCAAAAGTTTTGCGTGACGTCAGTTTACCATAGTACGGGGTGATACTGTTGATACTGAAAACCTTGCATGACCTTAACATACTGCACTACCATAATTCCCAAGATGCATGGTACATAGGGTTCTCGCAGCATTCTTAGTTTTTTGCAGCAATTGTTGCTTCTTCCATGCGTCCTGCTCATTACCTAGGACTTTCTGAGAGAATACTAGGGAGTACTAGGAACAACAATGGTTTTGCATTTTGAACATTGAGGTGTCCCAGAAGTAGGGGTGCCATTTTGAGGGTCGCCATAATAAGGATTATAATATTTTGGGGTCCATATTGGGGTCTCCCCATTTTTGGGAAACCACCACATGGCTTTGCTTAAGTTCCCTGCCATCCTCATGGTGACTGCGTTGCTACCAAAGCAGCGGCCAAAAGCATCCTGAGTCGCCCACACAAAGCCTGGACACAACGGGCCTTAGCCATGCTGGTACTTAAGCCTACTGGGGGTTAGTGGGGACTAAGGGAATATACTACATGCGGAATATGTAGAGTAGGGACTAAGGGAATATACTACATGGGGCTTATATAGGTAGGAAAGTTGTGGCAAATTCTTACATCTTGGCGTTTCGGGTTCGCACGTGGTCCGTTAAGACGGTGCCGGGGGCTATAGGACCACAATCCTCTGGTAGAAGAATATCGGGCCTCACCGACCAAGTTTGGACGACACATTTTCGCGCTTCGGTGCTTGGGCTGTTGCTTCGCGGATAGAAGCTGGGACGGTCAGGATGTCAATAATTTCACAAACAAATGGGAATGTCGACAACAGGCTAGTGGACTCCTTCAAAATCCACATGAACTCCCATGTAAATTGCACTATAAACCCTGAACCCTAAGTCGTCACGCATGCTTTTGGAAATGGAGCCCTCGCACTAATCTACTGGGTTGCTATTAAAAGAACTCAAATCAAGTTACCATACTGTGTATGTAATACGCTTTCCCCAGTAGAGGAACTTAAACTAATTTCCTTAACAGAAAGCGTTCTGAACCCGGCTTCTTAGGTCCAGGCAGCAGCGCGAATGTCCTGAATACACAAATCATGTAGACTTGGATATCTCAGTGTGCGTTCATGACATTGGGTGCCTGACGTACCCCCAGAATTCTGGGATTTGCGTTTGGATCGGAGGTTTCTGAGAACAGGCTACCTTGACAGGTTAGATTTAAGGAGTTGAGAGTTATAGTCCCCGCTTAAGTAGATTCAATATGGGATATATGAGGATCTTATTACAATATACTTAAGGCCATATTCTATCTACTGATGGGGGACTATAAATCCCCAATAATCCATTTGAAGGACTAAACTGAGAGCCCCCTTTTGATTGTGCTACATGGCCCTATGAACACTAGCTTGGGGTAAGAGGAGAGGCATCATGCAAGGATGCAAGCAACTAAGGT